AAGCTCCAAGCGCGGCCACTCCACCTCTGAGGAAACAGGGAGGGCCTGGGTGACCCCTTCAGGCTCCTGCTCAGCTGCAGGGAGGGGACCAGCTTCAGGGGTGAAGGGGGACCTGGTGCCTGCAGGTGCCACCTCTGTGGGGTTAACCAGGGAGCATTCCTGGAGGAAAGCAAACACCCTCCTGGCCCCAGAGCAGGTCGGGCCCCCACCCCCGTGGCAGGAGAGGGATGAGTCACTTGGCATAGGAGGGCCCCACGGAACCCAACAGATCCAATCTGCCCAGGGGAGGATGCACAGGGTGGAGCAGACCTCCCCGCATCTGGCCTGCCCAGAGACGTGTGTCTGCACACCCACAGCCCACATCAGCTCTGAGCCCAGCTTTCAGAGCATGGAGGGGGCAGGGGTGGTGAACAACTCGCATTCCTCCCGAAATGTCAGTTCTCCCCGCCTCTCAGCTGCCCGGAGCCTGGGAGGTGGAGGGTGAAGGTGTGGGGGGTCCGAGGGCTGGGGTGTCGGAGCAGGCTGACCCGGGGACCAGCCCAGCTCACCACCGTGCCCCGCGGAGCCTCGGTTCCCTTCTCAGGGAAAGGACACGAGAGAGTGACCACCTCCCAGGTGGGCGGCTGGCGTGCTTCACCCCGTGTGGCGCGCTGGGGAGAATCCGTACCCCCGGGCAGACTGGCACAGGCCATGCCGTCCGGCCAGAGTCTGCCCTCCATAAGGGACGTGACTGTTATCAGCGTTGTCGCTGTTATTCAGCAGTTGAGTTACCAGCCTCCTAACCTGGAGATCTGTAGTCCGATCCCTCCCCAGAACTCAACTTCACCTGCCTAGGAGGTACAGGGAAAGGAGATTTGGAAGTTTCGAGAAGTCCAGGGTTTTGATACTGTTTGGAACTCTGGGAACTGCTTGTACCCTTCAGTCCCACAAGCTTGTAGTCTTCAGCTACAGATATAACCCCTGCCTGATGGTTGAGCCCTAGCTAACGGCCAGGGGCCATGCTGAGTGCTTAACACACAGAATGAAGCCCTATGAGGTCAAGGCTACGATTGTGCCCATACCATAGATGGGAAAAACAGAGTAGAAGAGGCAAAATGCTTTGCTTACCTTCACACAGCTGAAAGGGTCTGAGCGGTGATTCAAGGCCAGGTCTACCCAGGCATTTGAACTCTGGTAAGGTTCCCTTCTTCCCTGACTCGAATGCTGGTTGGCTTTGTAGTTACATCTTTGTCTGCTCTTGGACTATCAGCAACTCGAGGGCAGGGAGACTTCCTTACTCAGGTTGGGTGCCATTTCCCTCAAATTCCATATCTCTGGTAATCCTCATCCGACAGCGTCTCCCAGTTAGACCAGAAAGGAGGTGATGACCACAAAGTGTGGCTGGGGCTGACTGAGGGGCATGAAGAGTGCTGGGGGCCGGGGTGGGGGGGCGCTGGGGGACAGCAGGGAAGGCTCTGGAAGAGGTAATGCCAGACTTGGGTCATATTAAAACACTTTTTTTAAAAAAATAACTGTCATTGCAGCACTATTCACAATAGCCAAAAGATGGAAACAACCTAAATGTCCATCAACAAAGGGATAAACAAAGTTTGGCCTATCCTTACAGTGGAATGTTATTCAGCCAAAAAGAGAAATGAAGTCCTGATATACACTACAACATGGGGGAATCTTGAAAACATCATGCAGAGTAAAAGAAGTCAGTCACAAAAGGACAAATATCATCTGGTTCCACTTACACGAACTATCAAGAACAGACAGGTGTATGCAGACCTGAGTTTGTCGGTGGTTACCAGGGGCAGGCTGGAAAGAGCGGGAGATGGGGACTCGGGACACCGAGTTTCTGTTAAGAGTTATGGAAAAATTCAGAAACAGATAATGGTGATGGTTGTACAACATGATGAACACAATTAATGTCACTGTATTGTACATGTGAAGAATGTTGAAATGGCAGACATGTTGTCACATATATATTTACCACAATAAAAAAAGAAATAGAGAAAACCAATCCATACACATGATTATAAATAAAATCCGGACACCATAAAAGAATACTTAGTGAAAATTCAGATTTCTCTCTTATCCCTTCTGAGGGGAATCACACCTAACAGTTTCTTGTGGATCCTTCCAGAAGTTTTTTCTATGTGTGTCCAAGCATAGGTAACACATAGATTCCTCTTCTTTCTCTCTCTCGCTCTCCAATACAAACGGGAGCCCCCTATGCGTTCTTTGGCACTTTGCTTCTTGCACTTGACTATATCCGTGTCTGGCGATGTTCCACATCAGCCTCTCCTTTTTCAGCTGCAGGGTCCTGCCCAGCGTGGAAGCATCCTGGGTTATGTAATCAGCCTCCTCCAGACACTATCAGATTGTTTCCAGGGCTTCCTCCTTAGCTATAAGGTAACAACGAACATCCCAGAAGGTACACCTAGCACCTTCATGAGCTTAGCACCCAGTGAGAACCCATCTGCAGGGAAGCTACTCCTGGGAGAAGTAAGGAAAGGGTTTCCAGGCAGTGTGACAGCATGGGCAAAGGCAAAGGGACCAGCTAGATTCCCTCCGAGTCCCTCCCTGTGGCCCGTTTGGGGTGCAGGAGGAAGGGTCCGTGTGGGTGAGTGAACAAGCTCTGCCCTGAGTTTGGCTTCTGCAGGTCCCCGGTGGGCTCTCCGCCTCTCCACCTGTGTTTGGAAATACCTGCTCCCAACGTTAGTTGGCTAAAGGGGGCGTCCGCTCGGTGCCTTGTCCCAACCTCCACCCTTGGAAGGAAGTCACTTCAAGCAGAGGGAATTGCTCAAGACTTTACCTGCCCCAAGGAGCTTCCAGCCTGCGTGAGTCAGGCAGGGCCAAGTTCAAAGGGGAGTGACTGGAGATAGGTTTGGCGGGAAGCTCTGATCAGGGTCCCTGCCTGAGTGGCAAGGGGGCTGCAGACAGAGACCCTCACTCCTGGCTTCTCACAGGGAGGCTGCAGACCACCAGGGGAACTCGTCAAAAGTTCAGATTCCTTAGGGGGCACTGAGTTTCGGTTAAGCGTGATGGGACAATTTGGAAACACAGCACAATGGGATGAAAGTAATTGATGTCACTGAATTGCACCCGTAAAAAACAAGTTCAGATTCCTGGGCCCCTCCCCAGACCACCTCAATCAGGACCCCAGAGAGCCAGGGCCCTGGAATCTGCATTTTACTTATTCCTTGGGGATTCTGATGCACACCAGCTCAGAACCACCGCCTAGGTGGAGTCCTTTCCCCTTGTTAGGTTTCCAGGCTTCTGAAAAGTTAATCTGAGTGGTTTTTTATTATCATGAGTCCCCCCAAGACTGGAAGCCCCTCGAGAGAAAGACCCCTTTTCTGTTTTGTAGTTTTCTTTTCTCATGTAGCAGAGCCATGCACACAGAGGGTGGGAGGGTGTGTAGCTATCCATTAAGGAGCGAATGAACGAATCCATTGAAGACCCTTCTCCAGAAAAACGCACGCGTGGACATGCACATAATGCAAGCAACTTAAGGGGAAATGCAGACCCCCTCAAGCCCACCCACAGATGTCCCTTCGGTGACAGGGACAAGAGAAGGACTGAAGGGCACCCAGTGTCCTTAGATGCTCTGCGGTCTGCGGCAGGAAGGAACCCTGGGAATCAAATGCCCCATCAACCTCCTTAATTTACAAATCAAAACACGAGGGAAGGGACTGAGGACTCACGCCAGTCCAGGGCTCTTGCCCACCTATCTTCCCAGACCCGGGTAGGCCTCCATGCTCCCCATTTGACCCCCAACAGCACAGCAATTTGGCCATAACTTATCCTGCTGACTTCTGGAGTCTCCCCTGGGGACTGTGTGCTTGAACCCCCAGTGTCCTCCAGAGTGGCATGGAACCCGCCTAGCTGTCAGGGCCCCACTCAGGCTGCCTGCCAGGCTCGGGTTACTGTCTGCCCAACTGCAGCCTTCTCCACTGGCCTACAGTCTAACCTGGGCACACAGTGGTGCACAATCTAGCCTAGGCACACACTGGCACATGGGCCAGGCTGAGCACACACTGGCACACGGTCCACCCTGGACACACATTGATGCCTTCCAACCTAGGCACACACTGGCAAGGTCCAGCCTGGACACACTGGTGAGGTCTAGTCTGGGCACACACTGGCAGAATTGTGCAATGTGCCCATTCTGAACTAGAATCAAGCAGCTTTTAAGACCAGCCATGAAGTATTTCTGTCATGCCAGGACCTAGAATTATTGAAGTTTCAAAGGACTTTTTGTCTGCCCTAGATGGCATGATGCGAAGCAGAGCAAAGCTTCCTGCACATGGCTTTGGGCCAGACACTGTGTTGGGGATTATCTGCAGGAATCCTCTCACAACCCTTTGGGAAGGGGGGAGCTGATAACCACCGTTTGCCAAACAAGGAAACTGAGGCAGGCGCAGTAAGATACGCCGAGGCGGCTCCGGTGGCTAGTTGCGGAGTCAGGATTTGATGTGGCAGGCAGACCTCAGAGCCCCCTGTTTTCAGTAACCACTCCACTGCGCCCATTGGAGTGTCGTTCTCTAGCTATAAGGGCACAGAGTCCCCTCTGGTCTCTGCCCACCTCTGGCCTCCGCCCACCTGTTGGGGAGCCCCCTAAGGGTCAGAGCCAAGCTCCGGGGCAAGGCAGAGCCGGGCAAGGGTTCTCAACCAGGGCGCGCGCCGGGCCTGGGGGTGCTCGGAAAGCTGGCCTGTGCCACGCTCTGGAGCCCAGGACTGGGGGGGGGGCCTGTCCAAGACCCAGTGCCCCCCCTCCGCCGGCCCCGGCCGCACTCGCTGGGGCTGGGCGAAGGCCAGGCGCTAGCAGCGCCAGGAAGCCCCGCCCGCCCCGGCCCCTCCTCGGGGAAGGTAAGCACCACCTTTGCGGGGAGCGGCCGGAGCGCGAGTGGCCGGCGGGCGCCCCGCCCCCCGCGAGTAGAGCCAGAGCCGCAGCGCGCTCGCTCGCTCGCTCGGTCCGCCGCCCGCTCACCTGCGCCTGCAGCCTTGGTGCGCGCCGGGCCGCCCGCCGCCACAGCCCGCCACCATGAACTCGCTCTTCAGGAAGAGAAACAAAGGCAAATACAGCCCCACCGTGCACACTAAGAGGTGAGGAGGCGCCCGCCGTGCCCCGGGGCCCTCGGAACCGTCGAGCCCTGGCGCGGAGTGAGGGGCGCTGGGCCGGAAGCCCCGCCCGGGCGGGGGGCAATGGCGGCGCCCTGGAGGCTGCAGGGGCACCAGGAGCACGCCCCGGAGGCCCGGAGCGCGGGACGTGAGGGAACGTGGGCCCAGGGGCGACCTGGAGCTGAAGCGACGCCGTGGTGGCGATGGGGTTGAGCTGGGGCGCCCGAGGGGGCCCAATGGCTGGCCCCAGGGAGTTCTAGAAGCCTCAGAGCACGACCTTGGGGCCTAGAGGGCGGGGAACTGAGCTGGGCACAGGAAACACCCGGGTCGGTCGCCTTTGCGCCTGGGGTCGCCCTGAGCCCGGAAGCACCGCCGGGATTGGGGTGGGAGTCCGAGGACCCTACACTAAGGCCAGGGCGCCGCAGGAGGCCCTGGCAGAACCGTCTAGGGGACGCACGGGGACAGGGAGATTGAGTAGGGGTGTGTGGGGTGGGGGGCGCCCAGCGCTTCTTGGAGAGCGCACAGGTGTTCCTGGCGTCGGGGAGGCGAGCCGGGGGTGGCGCAGTAGGGGAGCCACCTGCGGCAGCACTTCCCCGCACCTGCCACCCAGCGCTGAAAGCCGCGCCCAGAGGAACCGGGTGGGTGCGGGTCACAGGCTGAGAGATACCCTCTGACCCCCAGGAGTCGGGGGTCTGTGCTGCAGGGCGGCGCCGGGGGCCCCCTCCTCGCCTCACTGTTTCTCAGAGGGTGTGTCCGTCCTCCCTACACCCCCGCCTCTCCAGCCAACTCTGAAACTGGCGGTGTCTCTGAGCCGCGAGTTCCCAGGCAGCTTGGAAACGGAATGACATGTCTTGATGTGTTTGCGTTGAGACGGTGGCCCACGTCCGTTTTGATAAGCGTTAATGTATTCACTTAATAACCGGTTTTGGGGAGCTTCCTGGAGATGCTGAGATTGAGGGAGGGGGCGGGACTTCCGCCCCACCTTGCTCCCCTCCACCCAGGGAAAATGGGGTGGGGGCTTCTGGCTGGGAGGGAACACTTTGCCAGCTTCTCTGGACTAGGGGGAAAGAAGGTGGGGGACTCAAGGGCACAGCCCACCTGGCTGGGAGTACCCCCTCAAGGTGCCCTCACTGGGTGGCCCCCACGGTACCCCTAAGCAGCCCCTCACCCCCTCCCCAGTCCCCATGTGAAGGTGACAAGAGGGCTCTGGGTGGGCACCTGCCCCTGTGGTCCAGCCTGGACAATCTGTCTGACAGGTGGACCTAGATTTCCAGCCCTTTCACAAACCCCACTGCCCTGGCCTTCCTACCACCCCCTCTGTTTGGGCTATTTCAACCTCAGAGGCGGTTCTTCCTCACCCCTCTAAGGTTCCCCTCCACACCACCCCTCACCAGATCTCTCACAACCCCAGAGACTGGGTGGGGTCCTTCCCACTGTTCCTCCATGCCGGGTCCAGCTGGCTCTCAGACTTGGCCTGGGGTCTGGTCCAGTCTCCGTGCTGTTCGCGGGCATTGCACAATTGGACACCCTGTGCCAGCCACCCCCCACCCCCAAGACTCAGCCCCCTCCAGCCCTTCACACACGCACACACCCACACTCACTCGCGTGCAGGGAGCTGGGCCAGGCGGGGCCCCACCTTCTGCCTCCCCGCTCCCAGCTCTCCATCCGTCCCCAAAGGCCTGAGTTTGGACGCCTGGACTTGGACACAACAAAAAATTAAAATGAACCCGGAAAAGCTGGGAGGGGCTCCGGCTTTCCCGGCAGAGGGTAGAAAGGAGGGCTTCCTGTCCTTTACAGCTGCCAGGACATGGGGTCCTGCCCCCCCCCCGCCCCTTTACTCCGGGCCCAAGGCAGCGCCTCTTCCTTTGGCTGACGTCCGTTGGTCCCCAGATCTCAGCTTAGAGGTTTCTTTCCCCAGGAAGCCTGCCCTAATTACCCTGCTCAGGCTAGGGTGAGACCCTTCCTGTGGGCTTCCCTGGGCTCTCTGTGAGCCCCATCCCAGCGCTGAGGATGATGGCAGTGTCTGCCCCTCCCTGCATGCTCTCACCTGCCCCGGCATCCCTTGGCCCCAGCTTCTCGGTGAGAGGAGAGTACTTGGACCAGATCGCGGGGTGGGGCAGCACTTTGTCCCCCTCTCTCCCAACAAGAAGCTCTTGAGCAGTACATACTTGGTGCCTAGCCCTGTACCAAGTGCCACATGAGGGGCTTGTAGCTCTCAGACGTGGTCCCTGGTGATGGGGAGCTGACCCCCAAGGTTTTTTTTTTTAATTAAAATTTTTTTTTAATTGTAAGTGCACTGTCCAATCTGATAGCCTCTAGCCGCATACGACTATGGAGCACTTCAAATGTGACTAGTCTGAAAATTTTTAATTGTAAAATATACATAATCTAAAATTTACCATTTTAGCCATTTTTAAAGTATACAACTGCATAGCATTAAGTACAGTGACAATGTCGTATAACCATTACCACTGTCTAGTTCTAGAACTTTTTCATCACCCCAAACAGAAACTCAGTACCCATTTAAAAATAGCTCCCCACTCCCTCCTCTCCCAGCCCCTGGCAACCACTAACCTGTTTTCTGTCTCTAGGTTTACCTGTTCTGGACATTTCATACAAGAGCAGTCGTGTAATATTTGTCCTTTTGTGTCTGGCTTATTTGACTTGGTGGCATGTTTTCGAGGTTCGTCCACGTTGCAGAATGTATCAGAGCTCCATTCTTTTTACGACGGAATAATACTCCGTTGTATGGATAGACCACAGTGTGTCCAGCCACTCATCATTTGATGGACGTTTGAATTGTTCCCACCTTCTGGCTGGAGTGCTTAGCGCTGCCGTGAACACTGGCATACACGTGTCTCGGTCTCCAGGTTATTCTTCTCACTCTGACTTTCTAGGGGTCTCCCCCGTGGTCTGGGTGAGGATGGGGCCGCTGCCGAGATTCAGCAGGGTGTGGTCTGTAGGAGCTCCAGGCCTGGGAGCAGAATGCCTCTGACCCCAGCTTTGCTGCATCTGCTTGTGGACAAGTCATGGGACCTCTCTGAACCCCAGTTTCCCCATCTGCAAAGCGGGGCTGGTGATGATAGGCGTCTCATGCACAGGGTTGCTGGCATGATGGAGAGAACGCCTCTAGCACCTAGGAAGTGACCACTGTCCCCGAGCCAAGGGACCCAGGAGTCAGGAGGTGTGCTTGTCACACCCAGGCAGTCAAAGGGACCACAGAAGTGCCGAGTTAGTGAACAGAGGGGCCAGGATGTTGGGTGAGCCTGGTTGAGAAAACCACCCCTCCTGGGGTGTCAGCCTTTTAGCAGCTAAAACTGGGGTGGGCTGGGACGAGGGTGTGAACCCCTGCCGTGCCGTAGTCCTGGTTCCTAATGACAGGTGTGGGAGCTGATAGTCATGCTCAAGCTAATGACAGTAGGGAGGGCCTGGGGACCTGCTCCCCCGCTCCTTGGAGGTGGCACAGAACTGTGGCTGAGCAGCTGCTGCTTCCTGGCTGCACACCCTTGGGAGAACTGCTTGGCTTCTCTGAGCCTCTGTTTTCTCACCTGTAGAATGGGGATAAGCACACTTGGCATAATGATTCAGTAAAATAGTGTAGGGACAGGGTTGAGAGCAATAGGAGGCCTCACTACCCAGCCACTATGATGACAACGGTAGTTATAATTATCGAACAGATGCTGATAAGGTACCTGCTGTGTGCCCAGGATTGAGCCGAATGCCACAATGGGCAGGCTGTGCACTGCACACCTGTGGGGCTGTAATGGATCCATGGGGGGGCAGGTGGATGTGCAGGAGATATGACCCCCTCCCCTCACCTGAGTGGCTGGCAGTCGTGTCTGGGAGATAAGGTGGAGTCAAACTCTAATACATGTATGTGACATGATTGTGGCATGGGGTGATGGAGCAGCTCAGGGGGCAGTGGGACATAGACAAGGTCTCTAGCCAACCTCTCTGGTGCTCTGTGACAGATCTTGAGGTGAGAGCTGTTGGGTCAGAGTGGAAATCCTGGAGCTAGTCAGGGAGGTCTTCTTGGAGGAGGTGTCTGACCTGTTGGGGAAGAATGAGTGGAGTACTTAAGATCTAGCTCTGCAGTCAGGCTGAATTCTGCCTCTGTGTGACACCGTGAAAGAAACTTGACCCCACTGAGCCTCAGCTTCCCCATCTGTAAAATGCGGCTAATCTTGTTTTTCCTCCCAGGCCTGGGTCACAGTAAGCGCCCAGTGGCCTGACCTCAGCCTAGGCAGGGCGGTTTCAGGAGGAAGAGTCCTGGGATGATGGCCCAGGAGGATGGTGAAATGAAAGGGTGCCCTCCTGGAAGCCTGTTGGTGGTTAAGAGCACAGAGCTTGAGGTCGGTCAGGCGTGCGTTGAAGCCTCAGTTCTGCCTCTCCTGAGCTACGTGACCTTGGGCAGGCCACTTAACGTCTCTGGGCCTCAGTTTCCTCATCTGTGAAATGGGTGAGGTGGTGAGGTCACCGGCTGGATTAAGCCAGATAATGTATATGATGGACCCACGCCGGACCTGGCTCAGAGTATCCAAAAAAAAAAAAAAAAAAAAAACACACCCACTGCGATCGAGTGGATTCCAACTCATAGCGACCCGATAGGGTTTCCAAGGCTGTAAATCTTTATGGAAGCAGACTGCAATGTTTTTCTCCCACGGAGCAGCTGGTAGTCTCAAACTGCCAGCCTTTCAGTTAGCAGTCAATCGCTTTAACCACTGCACCACCAGGGCTCAGAGTGAATGCTCTGTAAATCAGAGCAGCCAGTATCAGTAATCATGGCACTACTATTGAGAGTAACACCAGTGCTAGCCCCAGAGCTGACAGGGGCAGCTTGTCTCGTTCCGGCTCAGGTGTGGCAGGAGGACAGCTGAACCGACCCATTTACCCAGCACTCACATGGGCACCCCATCAGGCAGACACCTGGAGACATGCAGACACATCGATAAGGGACAGCTGGGGAATCTGAACGATTTGGGAAG